AATCTATGAAAATACTAAAGGGCAGACCACGAATGCCGATACATTCCGATTTAGAAATTAGTATGGAGATAGAAACCGTATCGAACGCTTTAGAGAGGTCAAAAAATACCGTAGAATTTTTGTTTGTCATCTAGCTTAGCATTTATAGTCTGGGAAAGTTCAACAAAACACCAGGTCTAAAACCGAATTGGTTCTCGGCAATGATATTGAATCTCTTAAGAAAAGCAGTCAAAGAATTATAGAGAATGCGTTCTAGAATTTTTGATAAGAAACTGAGCACCAATATTGATCTATAGTTGGCAACTGGGTGCCTATGTGCTTTCTTCATCAGGTCAGGAAATACGCCAGTTGAAATTGAGGTATTTCAAATACGCGTTATAGGTGAAGTTAACTCTTTGCGTAATAATTTAATAACCTCAGATTGTATTCCTTCCAATTGCACATTGCCATTGCACAATTATTCCGCAGAGAATTAATGATGTTTTCTACTTGTGACTCATCAACAGGTAAATAGTACAAATTAATGTGCTATTGTTAGATGAAGATGACATAAGAGGAGAACCATCTAAGGGCCGTGATATTATAATAAGACTGATTATTAAAAAATATTATAATAAAAGAGAGATCTTATATATTTTACGCAGCTACGCCAGAAAAGACAATATGAGTGAATTACTGACTCATTGGGGTCGATGCGATGTAATTGATATCACTAGCTAGTTTTTGTTCCTGATGTTTACGTGATGCATATAACTTTTTATCTATATGTTTAACAGTTTATGTATATATTCAATTGAGACGACAAAGCATGATAAAAGTTTTTTACGAGGTCACTACGTATTTCATAGCGAAATTCCTTCAGTGAAAAAGTAAGAACGATATATGATAAATAACAGAAAATAAAAGAGTGCACTTTGTTATTCAATACAGATACAAGATAAAACGAATACAAACCGCTAAAGTCTATCAACGGTTTACGTTGTAAAAGGCTAAATATGGCTTTCTTCCGCAAAGCAAACAGTGTTTCTAAATCTTGCGAACCACATTTTTCTCTTAGTACACAATTTCTCACCCTGTCATTCACCCCTGACATACTCCTTAATAACCGCATTTCTACAGCATTAATTCTATTCTCGTGCTTCTTCTGCCATACCCAATAATACCCCATAATCTATGTATGAGAATTAAGGTTATTTAATCGTGCTTAATCATTTTTTTAAAGAGTTTGCGTTAAATAAATGTAGGAAAGAGCAATAAAATGTTAAGCAACATATAATGCCTCATTTATAATATAAAACTAGTTAAAAGTTTCGGCATGTTTTAAAGGTAAGGGTGAAAATCGAGCATAAACTATATAGATCATAGCATCCCCTCAGCATACCGCCCTATGCTGAGTGGATATATCTGTAGACACCCACAATTATTCTCGACTAAGAATCGAAATCCTGAATGCGTTATCACTCCCGGGTAACAAGATGGAATGCTTTTAAGCAGTAAAATGATTTTCCGTCTACACGCCACTTACTTTATACGAAATAGAACACTGGTATTTGACGTGGGTCACTGCATGGTAACGAGGTAACATGTCGCGTTAGAGCCACGCTGCAGCTATAAAATAGTTGCAGCACGAATGGATCGGCTCGAAAAGGAAAAGACCAAGCTTTCTCAGAATACCAGCATAATGCTGCTGTGTTTTGTATGGTGAGTGTAGAGAACAGGAGACCCATTTTACTGATAACGAGAGAATCTACCTCAGTCTTTAGCAGTGACACCGAAATTTTATTTGAGAATAGATGAAGGCTTATCAGGTAGAGTGCGTACTTGTTTGTCACCCTTATTCTATAAAAAACGCTAATGTGCAATAAGTGCGTCCCCGGTCGAGCCGATATATTGCTACAGTGTTGGTACAGTTGCAATGTGACTCGACCACTATCAGTTTATCGAACCGAAAATGGTAACTAGTAATACTTTTATCGACAATATATTATATTTTAATAACTAAAAATGTGCTGTATAATTTTTAAAACAATTAATAGCATCTCAGGGCTCGTGGAAGCAGCTTAGTAGTTGTCATGTAATCAGAGGGATCGTAATCATAGGTTGGTAAATGGAATACTTATTTTGCAAGAATTGTGCTGATCTCATTGATAAACAAAACAGCTGATCTAGAGTCTAGACACTCTTCGTTATTCTAGCCCTGTTTGTCTGCTGAGAATTATTTCTATCAATTTCGTCATCATATCAATAATAAATGCAAAATGTCTTCCTGTAACGTAGTATGTAGTATATACGATGAGGAGTTTGTATATTAAAAAAATGTACTCATTTAAAATTTACTTTAATTTTATATAAATAATTTTTTTTTAATTTATAAAACTCAAATGAACATATCCCTACAGCATAATGCTATGGAAATAACAGAATCCCTACACTACTGAGACTTCTAACCTTTTTACAGCATATTACATCAGATTTTAGTCCACTCGCTAATTTAGGAGTACGAGGTCCACAGTGATATATTTATTAATACGTGAAGTGAAAACTTGGCACTCCTTTCTAAGCATATTGCGCGCATGGAGTCTTGTGTAAATTGCCATATTTAACGCTAAAATTTATATTATACTCGTATAATATGTGTAATTTAAACTAAATAAAGCATACATTTTAAATGAAACTAGTTTTACGCATTTTATCGCGTTTAAAGTTTAGTTAAAGTTCAACGCGATAAAATCCATAAAATTAATTATATTTAATGTGTAGCGTTCGCGTAAATATAAGAAATAATTATGTAAATCAAACTTTTTTTTATGTTCATTCTTATAATGTCTCAGAGTAATAGTTCAATCATTTTAGTTATAAACTTGGCAAAATTATAGAGCAAAGTTATAATTGATATCGTTTTTGTTTGTATATTAGGCTGATAACAAATTTATCAAGGATTATTTCGTACCTATACAATTTCCACGTATCGTGTTTTCTTTAAAACTGGAAAAACCCGGCCTCATGCACTTTCTGAGTGACGACGCTCGCCAGGGAGATTGGATAAAATTTAACTTTGCTTTATAACGTATATATGATAATAGATAAGAGTACTCCATTAATTATTTAATTATTATTTATTTTTCTATTCTAAGCCAGCGCAGCGCTGTTGATATACCCTAAGATGATGAAGCGCACTGACTTAACGAAATTTCATTCACTCTTGCCTTAAAGACAACCACATTGTAATCGGATGAAAAGACATTTGCTGGCAATTTATTGCACTCCTTTGCTGTACGCATGACGAACGACGTAGCAAACCGTTTGGTTCGAATGTGTGGTAAATCAACAACGAAAGAGTGGGGACTGGTCCGAACGTCTGGTTGTTCGATGTTGGAAGGGAGAGGGAGGAATTTAATTATGCAATTCCTGCGCACCCTCTTCGAAATGCATCCTGTAGAAAACCGAAAGGCTGCTTACTTTGCTCTTGCCATTTTGCCAATTTTTTCATACATTGCTATCTAGAACGCTTGAACTATAAGTACAAGCATATTATGCATGTTATAAATTCTAAGTCAAACACTTAATAGTTTGTGGTCCGACAGTAGCACAGATTAGACATTGAGGAAAAAAGTCACCAAACAATTTTAAACTATTGGCATTTACTGAATAAACTGTGAATTTTGTTTACTCGTACTTTCAAATGTTCCTCTGTCTATCGTGTGTGCAGTGTACCTATGTCAATGCAAGGATGCATTTATTTTATACCAGCTGTGCCCGCGATTTCGTTCGCGTGAAATCAGTACTTTTGCTATTCTATGTGATGATGCTTTATTTGTAAATTAAACTGTCGCGAAGACTTAGAAAGCCACTAATCTGAATAGAAACATCCAGTTACTCGGTAAATCAGACAAACAAGTAAACGGACTCACAAACGAACAAAGAAATAAATAGGGCAAACTGTACGCTAGTGTTCTATTTTGTAAATAAACAACAAGATGACCGCAATAACGTAATCCCTAATTTGCTCACAAATTTCTTTAGCCAATACTTGGTTTCCATGCAAAAAATAAGATATTACCCTAAATAAGCAAGCACCATCACTAATTATTGATATTGAATAAAAAAAATTGAAATGAAAACTACAATCCAATGCCTACCTAAAAATTAGTACCTACACTAACAAAATAGTGAAATTGCGTAAGTATCTATATTTTGTCTCAACCTGCAAACAAATAAAAAATAAAACTTAACCTAGGAAAGTTTTTTGACCTTTAAGTAATAGGTGTCATCGGGTTTAAAATCAGTTGGGTTTCCTATCAAGAAATTTTACGGCATCAAGAGTTTAGCAATGTTTTATCCCTATGCCTCAGAAAGCACGTAAAGCCGTTTTATCTGTAACTGATCTCACCATATTTTTGTCGTATTACTGACTCGGACACAATGATAAATAAACATTTTTTTTAATATTTTGTATATAATGATCAATAAGGGGCAGATTTTTGTAAAGTTCTATTATAAGTATTATTCATAATTATTATAATTTCGTTTTACGGATTTCCCCACCACCATGCAATTGAAAACCATTTTTTCCGCGCAAACCATGTATCCTGGTTTTAACACTTTGTTGATAGGTAGTAATAAAACGGTGTCGGATTAGTGTGAACAGTTTCATATAAAATGTTCTGCCACTAGAGCAGCCTATTTTCTGGAAACTGGCTCTAACACTGGGGAGGCTCTAACAGTATTTGTTTTCACAGAAAATTGAAAATAAACTCTCAAATCTTTCAATAAAATAGAAAAAATATGCTAAGCTATTGCCATTAATCACGAACAACACCTACTTAGATAAATATATCTCTAAAACAATCAAAGTAATATTGCATGATTATGAACTAATTACTCGATATGATCTTGAAATTATCAAGTACCTCAGACATTTTACAAAATATTATTTGAGATAAGGATTAAATAAATACCCCGTCAGTAAATTCAATACCGCACTCGAAGCTACTTTAACCATGAAGTGTTTGCCAATTTTTATTTCTATTATAGCATGTTAGTAGTCCGTTATTGTCAATACATTAAAAACATTTATTAAATCTCTTAATTTTTAACCATATTTTCAATTCTAGTATGTGCTGGTAATGTAATACCCTTTGTGCCTGGGGATAATAGTCATTACGTGGAAGGTGTAAGCCGCTACGTATGGATACCTGATGGAGATGGCGTACCCCGCCTAGTGGACTTGGAGGAGCCAGTCGACGAGGAACTCCTAAGAAATAGAAATGGCGCACACAATCAATACTGGCTGTTCACAAGGTTTGTGTAATAATGAATATAGGTACCAATATAGTTTATAAAGAAGTATATATATTTACATTAGAGTTATGAAAGAAACTGATGGAAAAATTTGGGATGTGCAAGCGGGTTTTAGAAAGGGAATGGGGTGTACAGATCAAGTCTTTTCCATGCGCATGATTGCGGAGAAGTTTTTGGCCAAAAACCATAAAGTTTTTTGTGCGTTCATGGACTTGGAAAAGGCTTATGACAGAGTGGACAGGAATGTGTTATAGCAAACACTGAACTCATATGGGTTGAGCGCTGGTTTGATACAGGCATTAAGGTCTCTTTATAGGGACTCTAGTGCTTGTGTCAGGATCAATGGGGTCTACTCGGACCGGTTTGGCATCCAAAAAGGTGTCAGACAGGGCTGTGTAGCTTCCCCTTGGCTGTTCAACCTACTTATGGACAGGTGTTTGCAAACTTTGAAAGATGAAGAATGTGGGTTAAGAATGGGCGAGTTAACCGTCAAATGCCTTTTGTATGCCGATGATCAAGTAATATTTGCGTCATCGGCGTCTGAGTTGCAAATGATGGTTACATTAATGAACTGGGAATTAAAAGAAAGGGGAACGAAAGTGAACGCAAGTAAGACGAAAGTGATGGTTTTTGAAAGAGAAGAAAGCAAAACGGTATGTGAAATAAGAATAAAAGGAGAGTTAATTGAGCAAGTGGATGAGTTTGTGTATTTGGGATGTGTATTTAGCAGGGATGGTAGATATGATAAGGATATAGAACGACGAGTAAATGCAGGGAATAGAGTGAATGGGGCACTACACTCTATTATGAGGAACCAGAATGTGTCAAAAAAGGCACGTATGGTAATTCATAATGCTGTGTTAGTCCCTACTTTAATGTATGGTAGTGAAAGCTGGGTATAGCAGAAGAAGCACGAAAGTAGAATAAATGCTGTAACAGTACACACAGACAGTAGCACAGTTTAGACATTGAGGAAAAAAGTCACCAAACAATTTTAAACTATTGGCATTTACTGAATAAACTGTGAATTTTGTTTACTCGTACTTTCAAATGTTCCTCTGTCTATCGTGCGTGCAGTGTACCTATGTCAATGCAAGGATGCATTTATTTTATACCAGCTGTGCCCGCGATTTCGTTCGCGTGGAATCAGTACTTTTGCTATTCTATGTGATGATGCTTTATTTGTAAATTAAACTGTCGCGAAGACTTAGAAAGCCACTAATCTGAATAGAAACATCCAGTTACTCGGTAAATCAGACAAACAAGTAAACGGACTCACAAACGAACAAAGAAATAAATAGGGCAAACTGTACGCTAGTGTTCTATTTTGTAAATAAACAACAAGATGACCGCTATAACGTAATCCCTAATTTGCTCACAAATTTCTCTAGCCAATACTTGGTTTCCATGCAACAAATAAGATATTACCCTAAATAAGTAAGCACCATCACTAATTATTGATATTGAATAAAAAAAATTGAAATGAAAACTACAATCCAAAAGCAAAAGGCTCGAAAAGGAAAGGACCAAGCTTTCTCAGAATACCAGCATAATGCTGCTGTGTTTTGTGTGGTGAGTGTAGAGAACAGGAGACCCATTTTACTGATAACGAGACAATCTACCTCAGTCTTTAGCAGTGACACCGAAATTTTATTTGAGAATAGATGAAGGCTTATCAGGTAGAGTGCGTACTTGTTTGTCACCCTTATTCTATAAAAAACGCTAATGTGCAATAAGTGCGTCCCCGGTCGAGCCGATATATTGCTACAGTGTTGGTACAGTTGCAAAGTGACTCGACCACTATCAGTTTATCGAACCGAAAATTGTAACTAGTAATACTTTTATCGACAATATATTATATTTTAGTAACTAAAAATGTGCTTTATGCATTTTAAAACAATTAATAGCATCTCAGGGCTCGTGAAAGCAGCTTAGTAGTTGTCATGTCATCAGAGGGATCATAATCATAGGTTGGTAAATGGAATACTTATTTTGCAAGAATTGTGCTGATCTCATTGATAAACAAAACAGCTGATCTAGAGTCCCTTCGTTATTCTAGCCCTGTTTGTCTGCTGAGAATTATTTCTATCAATTTCGTCATCATATTAATAATAAATGCAAAATGTCTTCCTGTAACGTAGTATGTAGTATATACGATGAGGAGTTTGTATATTAAATGATACAACACAATGATAAATAAACATTTTTTTTAATATTTTGTATATAATGATCAATAAGGGGCAAATTTTTGTAAAGTTCTATTATAAGTATTATTCATAATTATTATAATTTCGTTTTACGGATTTCCCCACCACCATGCAATTGAAAACCATTTTTTCCGCGCGAACCATGTATCCTGGTTTTAACACTTTGTTGATAGGTAGTAATAAAACGGTGTCGGATTAGTGTGAACAGTTTCATATAAAATGTTCTGCCACTAGAGCAGCCTATTTTCTGGAAACTGGCTCTAACACTGGGGAGGCTCTAACAGTATTTGTTTTCACAGAAAATTGAAAATAAACTCTCAAATCTTTCAATAAAATAGAAAAAATATGCTAAGCTATTGCCATTAATCACGAACAACACCTACTTAGATAAATATATCTCTAAAACAATCAAAGTAATATTGCATGATTATGAACTAATTACTCGATATGATCTTGAAATTATCAAGTACCTCAGACATTTTACAAAATATTATTTGAGATAAGGATTAAATAAATACCCCGTCAGTAAATTCAATACCGCACTCGAAGCTTCTTTAACCATGAAGTGTTTGCCAATTTTTATTTCTATTATAGCATGTTAGTAGTCCGTTATTGTCAATACATTAAAAACATTTATTAAATCTCTTAATTTTTAACCATATTTTCAATTCTAGTATGTGCTGGTAATGCAATACCCTTTGTGCCTGGGGATAATAGTCATTACGTGGAAGGTGTAAGCCGCTACGTATGGATACCTGATGGAGATGGCGTACCCCGCCTAGTGGACTTGGAGGAGCCAGTCGACGAGGAACTCCTAAGAAATAGAAATGGCGCACACAATCAATACTGGCTGTTCACAAGGTTTGTGTAATAATGAATATAGGTACCAATATAGTTTATAAAGAAGTATATATATTTACATTAGAGTTATGAAAGAAACTGATGGAAAAATTTGGGATGTGCAAGCGGGTTTTAGAAAGGGAATAGGGTGTACAGATCAAGTCTTTTCCATGCGCATGATTGCGGAGAAGTTTTTGGCCTAAAACCAGAAAGTTTTTTGTACGTTTATGGACTTGGAAAAGGCTTATGACAGAGTGGACAGGAATGTGTTATGGCAAACACTGAACTCATATGGGTTGAGCGCTGGTTTAATACAGGCATTAAGGTCTCTTTATAGGGACTCTAGTGCTTGTGTCAGGATCAATGGGGTCTACTCGGACTAGTTTGGCATCCAAAAAGGTGTCAGACAGGGCTGTGTAGCTTCCCCTTGGCTGTTCAACCTATTTATGGACAGGTGTTTGCAAACTTTGAAAGATGAAGAATGTGGGTTAAGAATGGGCGAGTTAACCGTCAAATGCCTTTTGTATGCCGATGATCAAGTAATATTTGCGTCATCGGTGTCTGAGTTGCAAATGATGGTTACATTAATGAACTGGGAATTAAAAGAAAGGGGAATGAAAGTGAACGCAAGTAAGACGGAAGTGATGATTTTTGAAAGAGAAGAAAGCAAAACGGTATGTGAAATAAGAATAAAAGGAGAGTTAATTGAGCAAGTGGATGAGTTTGTGTATTTGGGATGTGTATTTAGCAGGGATGGTAGATATGATAGGGATATAGAACGACGAGTAAATGCAGGGAATAGAGTGAATGGGGCACTACACTCTATTATGAAGAACCAGAATGTGTCAAAAAAGGCACGTATGGTAATTCATAATGCTGTGTTAGTCCCTACTTTAATGTATGGTAGTGAAAGCTGGGTGTGGCAGAAGAAGCACGAAAGTAGAATAAATGCTGTAGAAATGCGGTCTTTAAGGAGTATGCTAGGGTTGAATCTGAATGACAGGGTGAAAAATTGCGTGATAAGAGATAAATGTGGTATGCAAGATGATGTTGTGACCAGGATTAAGAAAGGAATGCTTCGATGGTTTGGTCATGTAGAAAGAATGAATGAGGAAAGAGTGACAAAGCAAATTTATATGGCAGATGTGAACGGCCGAGTCGGGAAGGGACGCCCTAGAAAAAAGTGTATTGACCAAATTGGCGATATTTTGAAAAGGGGCCACGTTAGAAGTACCCTTAACCGACGAGCATGTATGCGTAGATATATGGATGTAAAGGAGGCGAAAGAGGTATGTCAGGATCGTGCCAAATGGAAGTCCGTAGCCTCTGCCTACCCCTCTGGGTGACAGGCGTGAGTGTTTATGTATTATGTATGTATGTATATATTTACATATAAGTAAACACTGCGCAAATTTATAACAATACTAACGATTTCTTTATCTTTATCAACATCTAATTCTAACTTTGAATACACTGCTGCAGATATGCCAAATGTCATGAAATAAACACTTAAAACTTGAAGTTGTTTATTCATACACTCAGGACCATGGTACTAAAACTAAAAATATTGAATACTCTTCTCTTTTACTATAATTTACCATAATTGCCACGATTGGCAGACAGATTGGCAGTCGTAGTATCAGCCTCGCACCTTCGACCTATCAAACTGATCCACGATGCCAGTCTAACCCTAAGTATTTCAAACCAGAAGGTCTAAGATCATTCTGACTTTTCCCATACTCGCTCTTACGCCAGCCACGGAACGATGTGCATTTATTATATGAGCGTATAGTTCGCTACCATACGACAAAAACATTATTAAGGTTTCAGACTTTACGTCCCACTGTAGAGCACAGACCTCCGGTCATTTCTGAGAGTATAGAGTAATAAGTTCACCGCGCTGCACTTTTCCACGAAATATTTTATTTCTCAGACAGACAAGTTTCGAATGTATTTTCTGCTGCCGAGCACGTGGTAAATGAGCACTTGACAATTTCTTTGCCGCCGGCGGGAAAGTAACTCCAGTTGCTGACGTATTATAAAATTTGCAGTCAGCAAATAGCCATAAAGAGCCAAGCACTCCTCACGGCTCTAATATAGGTAGTTAAAATAAAAATTCGAAACGGGATATACCAATATTGCATGAAACAACTGACCAGTTATTGCAACGATATGGCTAGGTACCAGCTGAGGCCCCATATAAATATATTGCTTGTATACTTATAGTACCATCCGTCCGTGTTTGTGCGTCTAATAGTGGTACTCAAAAAGTGTCAATTTTATGTCAAGATACGCACCCCACTGATAGAATGATGAAATATTCATATCCATAATAGATGAAATTTTTTCCAGATCAAACCCCACCAACCATCAAGTCATTGTACATGGTAACGCAAATACAATCAGTAACTCGAACTACAACGCAAATCGACCCATTTTCGTTACTGTTCATGGATGGACCAACGATGGAAACAGTTGGATGAACCCTCTTATTACATCAGCCTTACTCGCTGTTCAAGACGCAAACGTCATTGTCGTTGATTGGGGTGCAGTTGCCGGCGCTAACTACATTAGCGCCGTTAGTGGCGTTCCCAGTGTTGGCCAACACCTTGGTAACTTCTTAATATGGCTCATCAACACTGCTGGCGGCAATTGGAACAATGTTCACTTGATTGGCTTCAGCTTAGGAGCACACGTAGTCGGCAACGCTGGCCGTACTGCTGGAGGCCTACCTGCTCGTGTTACTGGTTAGTTATAATTTTTATCTACTTTAAAGTAAGTATAGTACGAGTGGTTATGTGAACTATTTTAGGAATTTGTAAAATAACAGATGGTAATATAATATAGCTCAAATTATTTATTCCGCTTCAGTGACTTAAGTTACTTAAGTCTTCCTGTATTTTAAAGAACTTTAAATAATACATTAAGTAACTCGCTTACCATAAATGTAGCCAAAATCTTGTGATATTATATTTAAAAGAAAAATAAAGAACTACACACCCCATTTACAAATAAAAATATAAAATTAAAGGAATACGTTCTGGAATATATATATATATATATATATATGTGTGTGTTTGTTAGTCTCTAAAACTCAAAAATGGTTTCACAGAATTTAATTTAATTTCTGAGAGTGTTTTTATAGCATTGGGTGACAAACGAGCACACCTGATGGTAAGTGGATGCTGTGATCCATAGACATCCACATGTATCCTCACATAAAAATTAAAATGCAAATGCGTTGTCACTCCTGAGTACTAAGATTGCAAGCATCTTTTCCAGTAAAAGGGGTCTCCGGTTCTCTACACTCACCATACGAAACACAGCAGCAATAAGCTGCTATTTTACGCTGGTATTCTATGAGAGAGTGGTCCTACCCTGGTCGAGCCGACTCATTCGTGCTACAATTATAATATAGCTGCAGCGAGGCTCTACCACGTACAAAATTGAATGGGTACCTAGACGGTTTAGATTCACACTTAGACCCGGTAAGTGGCGTTTTTGTCAAGATCCAGAAATTACGGGACGGATCACAAGTATCTCATAAAATACGATCTAAGTTTGTTTGGCAATCGTAATGCTTTATTATCATTGAGTTGCTATCGTAAAAATTCCATCTCTTGTTAACCCCCGCTAAGTTATAGAGTAGTGAATTCTCTTTCGCTGCGTTAGGGAACTAAGGTGGTTAATAAAATAAAATGAAAATCCAATTATAATACATAAATATTTACATTCACCACTCCTGGTCTATGTAACTGTAACTATATCAAATCTCACACTAATATAACTCAGACCAACAAAAAAAGATAAAAGGAGGACACAGGGTACATTACATTTCAAGTGACGCCAAAACTATACTCAATTTATAGACACGCATTCACGTATGATTTTAGATACTTACTTATGAGCATGATTTTGGCTTATCACTTTAAATGTTCGCAACAAATAAAGGTTGACAGAGGTCAACTTTGTAAGTCTTAGTAATATACGAAATGAACTCGTAAAAACTTTTTGTGCATATAATACTTAAAAAATTAAATCCCATCTCACATTTTGTTATCAGGATTGGATCCCGCCGGACCTCTATGGCATAGTAACTCAAACGCTTTGAACCGTAATGCCGGGCGGTATGTAGAATCCATTCATACCGACGGCCGTCTCCTTGGTATTATGAATGCGATCTCTGATGCTGATTTCTACCCCAACGGTGGTAGAAACCCACAACCTGGTTGCTTAACAAGCTCGTGCTCGCATGGACGTGCGCCTGAACTTTTTGCATCGAGTGTTCTGACAAACCACTTTGTAGGCAGATTGTGCCCAAATATCTACGAAGCCGAGCAATGTACATGTAGCGGTGCTGCATTTAACATGGGCAACGCAATCATGAACAAACAAGGGTAATTAAAATTATTATTTACTTGTTACTTTATTCATTAGTACGTCTCACATAAGACATACGGTCATAAGAACGTAAAAATCTAAAAAAGATCTGTACAATTAATAAAAATGTAATGTGAAGATTCTATGGAAAAAGCTTATGGAACTTAGTACTCACATCTATGTTAAGTAATTTCATATATCTATTTCATTTCAGAAGCGGCATCTACGCGCTACGAACCGGCAGCTCTTGGCCTTTTTAGATGAATCTTCCATTTAATTCTACAATACTTAATATAATTTAATTCATAATATGATATTTGTTTTTCTAACGGACACAAAACCAATGTTTATTATTGTTCACAGCCTACATAAAATTAAACAAAAATAAATGCAAGTGATAAATTATTTATTTAATTAATCTTTTTTTTAATCTTTATTTATTAAGAGGGTTAGATCTACTAGATCAAGTTACCCTCATAGGTACACAATCAAACACATAATCAGACAATGATAAATTCACGTAAACAATAATAAAAGATTACCTGTTCTTAATACTACCTAATAATACAAGTTTATAAAGTTTCCTAGCTTTATCCGACAATGGAAAAGCAAGGATACTATTATATAATCCAACACTATTTTTGTCAAAACATAATTGCTTTCTATATACTTCGTTCACATTCCATCATAATATAAATAACATCTTCCATAACTCTACATTTGTCACAATTTGGTGAATTCACTTTTTTCATTACAAACGCAAATTTGTTTAATGGTACATGTCCGTTCCGTCCGACCGACGTTTCTGACCTAGATTTGGCATTTAGTTTTGATAGTGAAAATCTTTGTGGTTTTTTCTGTATAACAAGTTTGCTTGTCAAAATTGGTACCAATTTTGACAAGCAAACTTGTGAGGCAAAACATCTTTTTTAAGTTTGAGGTGACCACCAACTAGTTTGTACTTCACGTAGTTTTCCATATCGTTTTCGACCTACAACAAAATACAAACTTATTAAAAATCTATAAAAAAATAAGGAACCTCGTAATTTGTATTCCATCAATATTTAAAATATGTACCAACTATGTAATACATAAAAATAGGACAACATGAAATTTACGTGCTCCACTTCATAATCAAACTTCTTCCATCATTTGCGGCCCGCAAAGTATGCAGGTTGAACAGCTCTGCGATGTGCTTAGTTTTTGCTCGAATTTTTGCTCGTAAAAATATAAAGACGTTTGTTAACATATTCCATATTTTAACCTTTATATTAATGCATTATAAACATTTTAAAATTTGCTGCAAACATAGGTAGGTATCTAAACTTACGAACTCACGACAGGTCATTGACTTATCTACATTACATAGGTAAGTACTTTACCCAAGTTTGGATGTTTATTTACACTGAAGTAGTTTTAGTTAAATGTGTAGGTATTAGGTATTCTTTCTTCTTGAAATTATAATGATCATTAAGCGTAGAAAGCTTCAATGAATCGTTAGTTACTTAAACACTGCGACTCGAGTAGGTACCAACATGCCTAATAGAAAGCATTTACTACCAATAACCAAGAGCTATCATGTGAAGATTATTATTATTTGAATACTTACATCGAAATGATCACAAACAACAATATGCTACCGTGTTTGGTCCTAAAGGATGTGCTCTTCTCATAGCATTTGTCCATTTATTTCTGAGGGTAGGGTTTCTAGGCACATTAAAAAACAACTCTTCAGGTGTTTTTGTGGCCGTATTTTTACATTGAGACACAGCACAATATTTAATAGATTTAATAAATCTGCGTGCGACGGGCACATTCGAGTAAATGTTTTGATTTTCTAAGTGCGCGTCGGGTCTCTCGCACGAAGATGGAAATTGTGACGTCATCAACGATGTCGCTCTCGGCCCGCGGCTTAGACCGAAAATGTTAACTTTGCGCCTTTATATCTCGGTCAGTTTTAAGATAGAAAAAAATTAAAAACACGGTTATTCTCGTAATTTTTTGTAGATTTTTTTGGCATATAAAACAAAAAATGGTTATCTTCTCCATTGCAATGAGTTCCGCATGCATAACTGAAATTTCCTTACCTAAGCAGAGCTTAACATATTCTTTGGTTTGAATGTCTAAAAATGCAGCACGCGTTCCTTCTTTATCCTTAGAGCCATCAGTATATACTTTATAATAATTTGTAAAGTTTTCAGCTAAATAGTTATGACATAAAATTTGTTGGTAATGGGGATTGTATTTATGTTTAGGCGCATTTACAAATTCTATTTGAGGGATTATCGAATCGGACAAATCCAACTTGCTAATCCACGAATTGAGTGTAAACATTTCTAAGTGAGGACTTGAAAACATAAGAGTTTCTTTAAATAATCTATAGATTGACTAGCAGTGGGATTTTTCTAAGTCGCCAGTAAAAGCTTTCTTACAGTTCATCAAGAATACATAATAAATTTGTCACAATATTTTCATCAATAGACCTACACTTTAACCAAAAGGGGGATGCCCATTTTCGGCCATGGAACGCCCAACAATGTGCATTTGTTAAAAAATATATCTTTATTTATGGTTATTAATCGCGGTATTCATTTATCCTAAAAAGATGGGAATATTTTTGCACAAATTAAAAGTACCGAAAAGATAAGAATAAAATTAGGTAAATCATTAATTCATTAGTTTGTGAATAAAATAAAAAGTGTTGCCAATCACAAATCTCATTAAAAAATCGATTCCCCTTTTTGATCAATTACTTATGGTGTCATTATTACAATGCTAATATAATCTTTCGATAATTATTATGATGTTAGGATATATATTTAAAAGGACAGTTGACAATGGATATTTATCCAAAGCAGCCGATACGCAACCGTTATCAACCAGTTGTTTATCCGACTACAGACTAAAAAGGATGGCTATGTTTTTACTGTGTGTGCGGGTTAGGCTATATTGAATCGTTTTTTGTTATGGTGCTTAAAAACGTAGGATGCATTTTATTACAAAGGGCGCTACTATCAAAGTAAAATACTTGACCAACTTTGAGAATTCTTTCACCACTAGATTGTAATGTATAATTTTAGATATCTAATATAGGATGAATTTTATTATAGAGGGCGCTACTTTCAATGAATACGTTTTTTGGCTAATCTCAAAAATTACTAGACCGATTTTGAAAATTCTTTCACCATTACATTGCTAATGAGGGCATTAGTTGTGTGATAAAATTATATTATTACAATAATTAATTGTGAGATTAATATTTTTTAAATAAATAAAACTAAATACCTACCTAAGATGTTCAAATCCAATTGTTATTTTTACAATTAAATAATCGTATTTGCACACTTTACTTACTCAGATTGATTATTATAGATAAAGAGGTAATAAATCTAAAGTAAAAGAGTTCCGCTTAAACGAAAAAACTATTTATTAAAATAAAACTAAAAGTTGAAAAAAACTAGTTCAGTGCGAGTCGGACTCACAGACCCATGAAGAGTTCTGTAGTAACAAGCATATATTTAAATTCGAGTCAAAAATACCACTATCATTATCGCCAGCAACAAATTATTTTGTTTTTCATAGTGTTTGTGTTAATAACAAAGTATTCTTTAAAATGTGCTACTTGTATCTAAAAAAAGGACTATTATACATTATACGGGTTTCTGTGCTTTATTCATTACCAAAGAGAAAAAACTTATTGCACAAAATGGGTTTTTATCCATTTCAAGTCATCAAAAGCGGTAGTCAACCGTTAAAAACAAAAACAACCGTTGTTATAGGCTCGGTTGAAATCGATGACAACCTTCACATTTATAGTTATGATAATTAAACAAGCGAATTACTACCTGATTTACCAAGAATTCTTTAGAGTATAACAAAACGCTACTGCACAATTTAACTGTTATTCTTATCTGTTCTTAACATAAAATTTAAAATGGAATTATGTGATGAACAAGAAGTTAATTTCTAGCTGATGTACCATGAATTCTCTAAAGCATGACAAAACAATACGGCACAAGTTAACTGTTCTTAAAAATACGTTTGAAATAGAATTTCAATAAATAAAGGAAATTATATTTTTAAAAGCGTGCAGAACTTAAAACGCGTCAAAGATTATTCTTTTTATGATATTATTAATCGAATAAAAATCGATATCGTTTCATAGACTTTATGACAGTTAAGTGGCAACATCGAATCTGACAGGTAGGCCCCCGTCACTATTATGTCACAAGAATTCAATTGCGTGTTATCGTATTATTTTGTTTTGAAAATGCAATTGACTCTCAACAATTGGATATAATTGAGGTAAGTGTTTAACATTTTTCAATTTATTAAGTGTGATGCTCATATCTGATAATTATACATGTTTTTACACTGATTGTATATCAACTCAAGAACTTGTTTTATTTTTTCACATCTGCACAAGCTATATCTGACAAACATACTAGCTTATTTATGAGATTGACCATTTTTATCAACTACCAAGAAAGGAGACCGTTGATTTTTCATTGTTTTTGGACTGCTGGTAGTCTGTCAGGTCTTAATTATTAAATAATATAGAGCATTAAGTCCATCCTTATGCAGTAACATTTAACTTGATAAATATTTTATTTATATTTGAGTTTAAAATAAACAAATCTATTTTTTTCACTTTGATTTCATTTTTTGTATTTTACATTATATCAGTTGCCGTTGTTATGCCGTGTGTATCATAATTTCTGGCAATGAACTGATAGAACAGCATCACATTCAACTGCAGAGTGGGAACCATCTGAATCATCTAGTCCATCCTCGTTGCAATCTGAAGTGAGTAATGTATTACACCCAGAACAACAAAGCTTAGATCATACATCACACAGTGTACTGCTAACCAATTATTTAAAAGTGCCACTAACACCAAATCAATGTTTTTACCTGGTTGTAACAATTCCAATGGACTCAATGTTCCATCAGCATTGCGAGTGTGTCACTTTTGTGATTACAATTACTATGTACGTGTGTTATACGTGGTAGAGAAATGCTGCAGTTATATTAGAAGTATAGTTGTAGCATGAATGAGTCGGCTCGACCGGGGAAGGACCACGCTCTCGCAGAATACCAGCATGAAATAGTAGCTTAATGCTGCTGTGTTTTGTATGGTGAGTGTAGAGAACCGGAGACCCTTTTTACTGGAAACGAGAAAATGATCTTAGTCCTCACGGGTGACAACGCATCTGCATTTTGACTTGTAATAGAGGATAGATGTGGATGTTTAAGGGCC